CCAGCACTTTGGGACGCCAAGGAGGGCAGATCACCTGAGGTTAGGAGTTTGAGGCCAGCCTGACCAACATGGTGAAACCCCATCTCTACTAAAAATACAAAACCCTGTCTCTACTAAAAATACAAAAAAGTAGCCAGGCGTGGTGGTGCACGCCTGTAGTCCCAGCTACTCCAGAGGCTGAGGCAGAAGAATCACTTGAACCTGGGAGGTAGAGGTGGCAGTGAGCCAAGATCACACCACTGCACTCCAGCCTGGGCAACAGAGCAAGACTCCATCTCAAAAAAAAGTTGAGGCCCCTCCCACAACATGGTTTAGAAGAAAAAGAATTAACTTAAAATATAAAATAATAATAATAACAAAGTTAAATTCATCCCTTCCTTTTGTTCTTTTTCTGATACCTGATACCTCTTTCCTTCCTGATCCATTTGGCCCTGAGGCCATCAGTGAGTGGAGTGAAGTAGGTGTCCACAGTGAGGGGCTCTCAGTGGCTAGGAACAGTGTCTTCAAGCCCCAGTGGGGTAAGGAGGGTGTCCACATGGAATGACAGCCCCACGCCCAGTGTCAGAGCCTGCGTATGGTGAGGAGGCCATCCAGATGGGAAAGAGGATAGTGGTAGAGACAGAAGATCAATTACACACGAGGATGGATCAACTAAGCTGTGAAAGGAGATCTCCAGACCCCAATTCACTCTGCCAAAAGGAAAAAATTAGGCTGAAAGCTGAGTCATGCCAGAAACCGCCTTTCCTTTTGTGCCTAAGCAGACAGCTACAGATAAAAGGTTAAATATCTCCACAGGTAGCTGCTTTATTTTCACCTTACCTTATGTAAAGTGCAGCTTTACTGAGCGCAAGATTAATACAAATTGACTATTCCCCTACCTGCTCCTTTTCTCTTGCAACATATAGACTCAGAAATGTGACCATATCCCCCTCTCTCTTGCCCCTCTAACCGCTTTTCCCCTTTAAATATTTGAAGCCCTCAAAAATCACCTTTGGAAAAAGGTAGGATCACAGGTTGTTCCTGTGGATTTATGTTTCTTTTTTCAGGGCATATCCTTAACCTTGGCAAAATAAACCTCTAAATTGACTGAGACCTGCCTCAGATACTTTTTGGTTTACAAAGTAAATACATTAAGGGTAGTGGATGCCACTGTCAGGAAAGGGAGTTACAAACAGGAAAGAGAGAAAATGAACCTCGTGGTCGTTGGATTGGAATTGTAAACATTAATGTGAACTCACAGTTTTCCATATATATAGATTTATAAATTAAAATAAACATAAATGTGTATATATGTGGAGAGAGAGATTGCTAAGTAGTATTTTATGATATGAATATATAATACCACAATTGTTTATCCATCCTGTTGATAGGCATTTACCTTATTTCCAGTTTGGAAGCTATTACGAATAAAGCTTCTGTGAACATCTTTACACAATTCTTTTTGGATACATATTTTCATTTCTCCTAGGTAAATACTCCACAAGTGAAATTATTGGGTCATAGGATAGGTCTTTGCTTAACTGCATAAGAATTCATCAAATGGTTTTCTGAGTTGGTTGTACCATTTTCACAACCAGCAATGTAAGAGAGATTTGGTTGTTTGACATCCTCACCAACATTTGGGGCTTTCACTGTTGCCACTTGAGTAGGATTAAAAGGATATCATATTGTGATTTTAATATGTATCTTCCCAATGACTAATAATATTGAGCACATTTTCATATACTTATTTGCTGTTCATGTTGTCTTCTTCCATGAATTGTCTCCTCAAATCTTTTGCCTATCTCTTAAAAATTTGACTGTTTGTCTTTCTGTTATTGACTTGTGAGTTTTTCATATATTCTGCATACAAGTCATTTGTCACTTACGTGCACTGTGAATATTTTTCCTACTCTGTAGCTTGCCTACTTATTTTCTTCATGGTTTCTTTTAATGAGCAGATTTTAATTTTGATGAAATCTAATTTCTCTTTATTTCTCTCATGACTATTTATTTTATAAAAATTTTCTACCTAAGAAAATTTTGCCTTACTTCAGGAAGATATTTTTTATGTTTCTCTTGAAACTTTAGAATTTTAGCTTTTACACGTAGGTCTTTGTTCCATCATGAATTACATCTTTATGTGGTATGAATAGTGATTGAAGTTCATTTTATCCTGTTTAATTTATCTAATTATTCCAGAATCATTTGTCAAAAATAATTTTCTTTCCCCATAGGAAATCCTTGATGCCTCTGTTAAAAATCAATAAACCATATATGTTTGGGTCCATTTCTGCACTCTTTGTTCTGTTCAGTTGATCTATTTGTGCACCCTAACCTAAATAACTCCCTACCATGATCACAGTAGCTCCATAGTAAGTATCAGCAACAGATACTTAGAAAGCTCACTTAGTGAGCTTTGAGGTTTTCCCCCAACTAGATTGTTCTGGCTATTCTAAACCCCTTGTATTTCTGTTTAAATTGTAAGATAACTCTGTCAATTTCTACAAAAATCTGTTAGGATTGTAGTTGAAATGATATTGAATCTTTAGGTTATTTTAAGTAAACCTGACATATAACAGTATTGAATCTTTCAATCCATGGCATGTATCTTTCCATTTTGCCAGTCTTCTTTAATTTCTCTCAAAAATATTTTGTTGGGGTGGGTGCAATGGCTCATACCTGTAATCCCAGCACTTAAGCAGGCTGAGATGGGAGAATCACTTGAACCCCGGAGTTCAAGACCAGCTTGAGCAACATAGCAAGACATCGTCTCTATAACATTTTTTAAAAAATTCCCTGGACATGGCGGTGCATGCCTGTAGTCCCAGCTATTCAGGAGGCTCAAGTGTGAGGATCACTTGAGTCCAGGAATTCGAGGCTGTAGCGAGCTATGACTGTGCCACTGCACACCAGCTTGAGTGACAAGGCAAGGCCCCATTTCTAATCAAAACAAAACAAAAATCTTTTGTAGTTTTTAATGCAAAAGTATTATACATCTTTTATTAATTACTGTTTTTGAATCTTATTTTCCAATTATTTGTTGTTATTATATAGCTATGTAATTTATTTTTGTACATGAGTACTCTATCATTAGGATTATCTATACAATCTTGTCATCTTCAAATAAAGACAATGTTTTAATTTATTTCCACTCTTTCTTTTTTTCTTTTGTTTAATTGCTCCGGCTAAGACCTTTAGTTACAAGGTTGAATGGAAGTGCTAGAAGTGAACAACCCTTCCCTTTATTCTGATTTTAGGAGAAAAATATTCAATGTTTCACCATTTTATATGTTAGCTGTAGGTTTTTTCATAGACGTACTTTATTTATTTATTTATTTATTTATTTATTTAGAGATGGAGTCTCGCTCTGTCATCCAGGCTGAAGTGCAGTGGCACGATCTCGACTCCCTGCAACCTCCGCCTCCTGGGTTCAAGCGATTATCCTGCCCCAGCCTCCTGAGTAGCTGGGATTACAGGCATGTGCCACTATGCCCGGCTAATTTTTGTATTTTTAGTAGAGACAGGGTCTCACCATGTTGGCGAGGCTGGTCTCAAGCTCCTGACCTCAGGTGATCCGCCTACCTCGGCCTCCCTAAGTGCTGGGATTACAGGCATGAGCCACCATGCCCAGCAGATGTACTTTCTTAAATTGAGGAAATTCCCTTCTTTTCCTAAGTTTTAAGAGTTTTTAACCATAAATAGATGTCAAATTTTATCATATGCTTTTTTTGTTTCTACTGAGATTATTGAACAGTTTTTCTCCTTTATTCCATTAATATTGTGAATTACATTGATAGATTTTCAAATGTTAAACCAACTTTACATTCCTGAGGTAAACCTTACTTGGTCATGATGTATTATCATTTTTATGTATTTCTGAATTCTATTTGCTAATATTTTGTTAAGGATTCTTGTGTCTATGTTCATAAGCATATTTGTGTGTAATTTTCATTTCTTCAAATGTCTTTGTCAGGTCTTAGTATGAAAGTTATGCTGACTTTATAAAATGAAAATTTCCCTTCTTCTCTCTTTTTGAAAGAGTTTATGCAAGATTTGAATTGTTTCCCTTAAATTTTTGATAGAATTTACATGTGAAATCATAGAGCCTTGGAGTTTTCTTTGTGGAATATTTTTTATAGTTAATTCAACTTCTTTATGAAATATGGGTTATCTATTTCTTCCTGTGTTGATTTTGATAAGTTGTGTTTTTCAACGAATTTGTTCATTTCACATAAATTGTCAACTTCATTGCCATAAAGTTGTTCATAGCACTTCTGAATTATCATTATAACCTGTAAGATTGGTAATGATATCCTCTCTTTCGTCCCTATACTAGTAAGGTGTATTTTCTCTCTTTTTAATTGATCAATCTTGTTAAAGGCTTACCAATTTTATGAATCTTTTCAAAGAACCAATTTTTGACTGAGTTAAAAATCCCTGCAGCTTGTTTTCCAATATACTGACTTCTGCTTTTATACTTATTATTTCCTTCTTTCTTTGGGTTTACTTTTCTTTTTGTTCTACATTTAAAAATAGAAATTTGGATAACTAATTTTAAACCTTCCTTCTTTTTCTAATACTACCAAATTAAAGCTATTAATTTCCCTTTAAGCACTGCTGTACCTGCACCCCACAAATTTTGAAATATAATGTTGAACTTTCATTATCCCTCAATCTGAATATTTTCTAATTCCCCTTAAAATGTTTCCTTTGATCCATGGTTATTTATAAATGTGTTATTTAATTTATAAACATGTAGGATTATCTAGGTAGTTTAATATATGATCTAATTTCATTGTGGTTAGAGAACATACTCTGTAAGATGTCAATATTTTGAAATTTATTGATATAAAACAAGTATATAACTTACCTTCTAGAAAGTAGAAAGTGGCCATCAGAGAGGTGTAAATAAAATGCCGTGGGAGTTAGAGGAGGGAGCGGTAAATTCCAACTGTATTAAACAATGGAAGACTTACGGAAGGAGGTGGGATTTGAGCTGGGTTTTGAAAGAAAGATAGAATTGAGAAATAAGGAGATCGAGGGACAGCAGGCAGGAAAAGCTACAATTAGACTCAGCTTTCTTTAAAAGGAGTAACCATGATTATCTTTTATGAAACCCAAGGCCTCAGAGCACTGCTGGGAAAGTGACTGCAGACCCATGGCCCCAGTATTCTTCTCTCAGTTGCCTCTAAATATCTGTTTTCAAATAACCACTTAGACATTTTAAACTCTGAATCTGGCCACCTCCTGTTTTAGAAATTGAAGCAGTAACATGTACTTTAAACTCACAATGAGAAGGGCCAGATTTCATAACTTGAAAAGCAATTTTCATTCTATTTTTAGGATACGTACCATTCTATGATTTCTTTTTCTGCCCGCAGATCTGGGAGCATGATGAGTGTGATACACTGAAACATTTGTGTTCCTAGTCACAGCCTCTCCCTTTGGAGAAGTTTAGACTTCTTAATGATATCATTGGAGAAAACCTTCACTTATCTCTATGGTCACATGGCAAGAGTCACTCTTAGAAGTGTCATGGGTAGAAGGCAAGTGGCTCCTCGGGATCTGTGTCATCTGAAAGAAGCTCCTGGTCAGAACCCTCTGAGCAAGTGATACAAAAAAAAAAAAAAAAAAAAGTTGGGGCCTGAGATCGTTATCCTTCAGCCAAATGCATGGAGGCCACAATTCAGATCCACATACTCCCAGATCTGTGCAAGTTGAGTCTAATTGTAGTTTTCCCTGCCTGCTGTCCCTCTATCTCCTTATTTCCCAATTCCCAAACACACATAGGCCACAATTCAGATCTGCTGGCATCTTTAGGGGTGTACAGCCACCACCCCAGAGCTCCAGGGCAAGACTGGTATTTTCTTCCCCACTTCGTATGCCTCAGTCCCCAGAGTGGCATTTGTGGAAGTTCGTCAAGTGGACAGGCAGGGTCCGCCTGAGCCTTCTTCTTCCCTGAGCTCTGGTCCACAGCAGGAGCAGCCTTTACCCTGAACTTCCCTCTGAGAGATAAGACTGTTGCCCTTATCTTTGGTGATTCCTGGGGGTTGAGTTCCCAGTGTGGAAAGGTTGGTTTGTAATGTTTTCTCAGATGTACTCTGACATGCTAACACTCACATTCCTGCCTAAACTAAATAGTCCTGCCAGCGCTGCCAGATATCATGGTCTTTTGTTGCCATAGATGCCCCTGGAGGAAAGGGGTAAAGGGATGACCTGGAATAAACATGAGCCCTTGATAGCCGTGTCTCAAAAGACTGAGAAGCCACACGAAGCAAAGTGTGGCTATCAAGACCTCTAGTTCCAGATACAGTCATTGGACATAATTCCTGGCAAGAAAGGGGTAATCCAAAGTCAGGCAAAGGTCAGTCTTCTGTGGGTCTAATGAAGTCTATTGGAAGAGTTCATCCTGATGCCTCATTTGGCCTTGCTGAGGTCAATGTCCTTTAGCCAGAAGCTGTATGAGACACACTAGCATAAATACAGGACACACTAGCATGCCTGTCCATGTGCAACACATTTTAGCCATGTGTTTACAGTGAAACCTGGCCAAAGGACTCCACCTCCAGTGAGCAGCCTCTCCCTGACTTTTGCAACTCTGAGTCTGGAAAGGTTCCCTATCCAGGATGGTGATGAAGATGAAACTCTCCCTAGAATGTCCCTCTTCAGAGGCAGTCTGAGTTCATGTAGGAGACACAGACAAGGGCTAAGGGCAGAAAGTATCTGTGATGGCATTTGGTTGTGAGGCTTTCAAGGCTGGATGGTCTCAACAAAGCCTGTCAGGCCAGTTCTTAACATTGGACAGAGACTGGACAACTGGTTCCCTCCCCCTTCAAGTGAGGAGGGCAGAAAATACAAGAAGACTATGGGCTAGAAGCCCTCTGAGGCTAGTTAGCCTGGATGAGTTTGAGAGAGTTCAGTGACAAACACTTCAAACTCAAGTCCAGTGCCTTCCTCCTGATTGTTGCTTTAGGTTGACTACCCTCATATCAATTCAATAACTTTTCCTCCTTCTCCTCCTTACTTTCCTCTCTCTCTCACAGTGGGGGGGGGGGGGGGCAATATTTGAAGAAGTACAAGATTAAGAGGCATTGGGGTTGAGATTAGGAACTAGAAAAAGGTCCACATGGAAAAACTAAATGCCTGATCAGGCCTTACGGCATGTTTGTTAAGAGAGAGGTGGAGGGAATGCTGATAACCAGAAAGGCCAAGAAAGGTCTTCTTGCGAAAGCCTCCCACAGATTCTGATAGTACATTTATAAGCCAAGCCAAGCGCCACAGAAAGACATGTTCCAAACGTAATGGGTTCCATGGGCTTGGGTAGAATGGATGTCATACTTGTTTGAGATGTTTCCAGTATCTTACCAGACTGCGCCCAGAGCGCTAACTATTACAACAATGTCACCGAAACAGGAGTGCCCTGGAGTGCTCCACCCTCCACTCTGGGGGTTAGGCTTTGTGCATTAGCATACATTCCCAGCACTTATTAGAACTCCCTCCTGAGTACAAGATACTAGGGCTACAACATAATTGGTTTACATTTAAGTGCCCAAATGTGATTATATAACTTTGATTCAATTAACAGGTCTGACTTGATTCAAACCTTGCTCAGGTATGAGCCAAATAGTCATCTAAATAATAATTAAAACAAGACAAACCAGCCTTGCTGGACTCCAGTGTCGGGAACTGAAGGAACTTCCGAGTCATCAGATAGAGTTGATGGATCCAGAAGCTCAACTCCCAACACTATGCTCACTTGCCTTTGAGGCTCAGTGCTGTGGTCTGGGGCACCCCAGGCATGACCAGCAGGGACTCTCAGTTGCTCCCTCTTTCCAATTTAGCAATGATAAAAGGGAGTCTAGGAGTTGAAAGCAGAGCTAGGATTTTAGTTCAACACAAAGGTTGAAGGCTCATCTAATCCAACCTCCCATCCCGTTTAGAAACCCCTGACTGTTGTCACACCTCTGCCTGGCCTTGGTTAAGAACCGGAAGCCCACTACCCCCACCAATCTTAAATGGTTCCAACTATGGTCAACCTTCGCTTGTTTTGATCTCAAATCCACTTTCCTATAACTTTCATTCAAAAGTCCTTTCATCTTTAGGCCTCCCATGCCATTTCTCAACTCCCTCAACCCACTCAAAATAAATTCTGGAACCCAGAAAGCTTACTCTGCCACAGTATGTTGATGAGCAGCTTAGACTCTTATGAAACTCAGTCATAAGATTGACTCTGCCCTGACTTTTGAACATCACAGCTTCAGATCTGGCAGGGGTCAGAGGAACTAAGGAACTCAGTGCTTTGTTGTATGAAATCATTTTGAAGACTAGAACAAAATCAGAGAGGAAAATGAAATAAGTATTTTAAATCAGAGCTTTTGCCAGCATAGTGGCATATGTTGATGGGAGAATCTGAATGTTTTCTGAATAAGTTTTTGTAGCACACTGACATTTATGATTATTTCATAATGATAATGTATGACTTTCATAATATTAGACATGGATCTCAGTGAGGGCCAGTGTGGGGAAGGGGAAACCAGATACTCAATATCTTCAAAACTGGCTAGCAATTGAGTGCACATATCACAGGGGAATGACCCTACTCAGCTACTAAAGACACTGTGGGTCCATGGCGAATGATGTTTGAGTTCAGCCCTGCCAAACTCAGAGATCAACCTTGACATCACTTTGATCTTTTCCATATTTCTGCTGCTATTTGCCATCAAATCCAGAGACCTGGAGGAAAAGTAAAAAGAAAGAACTTTCAGTGGTTTGAGATAAGCTTCTCTTCACATCCCTGAGCTCAGGGCAGGCAAAGCCTGGTGAATGCGGCACACAAAGCCCAGGCTGCCTGCCCTTGGAAGGACATACACTGCAATACTGTACATCCCCATGGTCCCTATGGTCAAGGATAGGAGGTCCACGTTTAACTGCTGTTATTTAATCATAACAGACTGTGTGGCATTTTTCAGATAATGGAGCTAAAGCTTAGAGAGATTAATGTCACCCAAAGTCACACAGAGCTGAGGGCTGGGCTTTAAACTTAGGCCTGCTCATGTCCACATGGAGAGGACCAGAACTCCCAAGGAAGCCCTTGGATGGAGTGTGTCTGGCCCACAGCATGAGAGAAGGGGCAGTGCCACCTTTGGCTTCTTGGGCAGGGCAACTGTTCTCTTCAGGATTCAATTTCTTATCACATGCAGAGATTTCCTTAGTTTTCTGGGTCTATTTGTAAATTACTCAGAAAAACCTGTCTGGGTGTCCATTCTGCTGTCAGGACGATGGGGATTGGGAAGCCAGCAGGTGAGTGGGGTGCCAGTGATTTCCTGTCATGGGGGGCTGGACTGGGTTCTGACGCCACTCTCCTATCACTTCCCCTGCCTTCTTTCCCTGTCTCCCCATGCCTCTTCCCGCACACTCAGTTCATAGGATTGGGGAGACCCCACAGTGGTCCTGGCATCCCCACACTTCAATTCTGTCTTGGCAAGTGTCAAATAGAGACCCTGCCTTCCAGATACCTAACTCGGGGGCTTGGCTTAGTCTATGAGCCAAAAAGAGGAGAGAAGGTCTATCAGGAGTCCTTCATAATCTCCAGACTAAAGGAGAGTGTCACTGTGGGAGAACGAATGTCCTCAGGTGGTCTCTCTTCAGGCCTTTGCCTAGAGTGAGCCAGTTATGTGGCATCAGGAGTGGCCTCAGCATGGCTAGGGTGGTCCTGCCCTCTGAGAATGAAGGGGCTAGAATAAAATGGGCAAATTAGTTTGCTTCTCATTATTCGCCCCAGCCAGAGAAAGCTTTGTAAAAGATGGCTCTAATTCGATTAGAGTTAGAGTTAATAATCTCTTTGCCTCATCTGCAGAATCCTAGCCCTTCACGCTTGCCCCACTCACCCCTCCTCTTCTTCAGTCTCTTCACCACCCTGTCTCCACCCATGCTTTGCCCTCACTGTACCTCCTCTTCATCCTCAAACACCCCATGCACTTTGACACCATTGAGACTTTGTTGTTCCTTCTACCTGAAGTAGCCCTCCCTCAATCCTCTCCTCACCATCTACACCCAGCTCAGTTGTCACCTTCTTGCTGTAGCTTGCCACATGTCAGGCAAAATTAATTACCCCTCATGCAAATTCCCATAGCACTTTGAATGTGTCTCTATATCACTCATCACAAGAGCTATTTGTTCATACGTCTGTCTCACTGGTTGGACGATGCACTCTTTGGAGGGGAGTGATTACTTCATATTCCTGTATATCCCTGGGCCCTAGAACATGGAAACGGGTGCGTGAATGTTGTTAGGAAGTGGATGCAACAGTGGAAGATACTCTTCAAGGGGGTCCTGGGCATCTCCCTGGGGTCAAGTACAAAAGACAGGCTCCTAAGTGACAGGACCTCTTCTCCCTCCCTTACCAAATTGTCTAGTGGGTCACAGCTTGGGTCCACCAGCTCTGGTGCAAAAGGTCATTCACCAAAGGCAGAGTTAGGTTTGGGAGCGCAAAGGTTTTTTTGAAGGACATCAAGGTTACTTTTTAAACCTATGATGATGGTTCCCCACAAGAGAGGTGGAGACAGAGAGGTGGGGTTCACAATTTTGAGCTGGGTAACTTAGAGGAAATTGCTTAATCTCTCTGAGGTACAATATCCTCATCTATACAAATGGGGAAATACTATATACCTCCTGTTGCTGTGAAGATTAAAAACTACTCTTTATTGAATTCATTGTACAGCTACAGGCTCTACAAATATCACCCAGTGAGAAAGGGACAGAGACAGAATCAGAAGTTGTACCACCATTCAATATGAAAAGGACATTGGAAACTGCAAACATCTACAAAAATATTAGCTATAGCTTTTTCTCTTTCTTTCTTTCCTTCCTTCCTCCCCTTTCCCTTCCCCTTCCCTCCTTCCCTCCCTCCCTCCCTCTTTCTTTCTTTCTTTCTTTCTTTCTTTCTCTCTCTCTCTCTCTCTCTCTCTCTCTCTCTCTCTCTCTTCTTTCTTTCTTTCTTGAAATGGAATCTCACTCTGTTGCCCAGGCTGAAGTACAATGGCACAATCTCGGCTCACCACAGCCTCCACTTCCTGGATTCAAGTGATTCTCCTGCCTCAGCCTCCCAAGTAGCTGGGATTACAGGCATGCACCAACATGCCTGGCTAATTTTTTTATTTTTTTATTTTTAGTAGAGATGGAGTTTTGCCATGTTGGCCAGGTTGGTCTCGAACTCCTAACCTCAAATGATCCACCCACCTCCCAAAGTGCTGGGATTACAGAGCTATAACTATTTATTGAAAGTATTTAGGTCTCAAAATATTTGTCCTGTTGGGAACGGAAACTAGCAAAAGAAAGACATTTTTTTCTGGGCCACCGTGAGTAGCTGTTGCAGGAAGTGCAAAGGCGAAGGGGTGGTAGGAATAGCTAGTTGTCTACCGACAAATTGTGCCTCACCTTCCATAGGCTTAATGGTTTCTGAGACATGGCAGCCCAGCCAGGGATTGCACTTCCTGGCTCCCCTTGCATGTAGGTGGGGCTGTGTCATACGTCCTCCTGTGGAATGTGATCAGAAGAGACAGGTGTCACTTGCAGGTCAAGACGGTTAAGAAGAGGGTGTGAACTGCCAAAAGACAGAAGCAACTCAGGTGTCCATCACGGATGAATAACTAAACAAAGTGTGGTGTATACTGCAATGGAAGGAAATTCTGACACCTTCTACAGCATGGATAAACCTTGAAGACATTACACTAAATGAAATAAGCCAGTCACGAAAGGACAAATATTATATAATTCCACTTATATGAGGTACCTAGGACAGTCAAATTCATAGAAACAGACAGTAGAATGGTGGTTTCCAGGAGCTGAAGGAAGGAGGGAAATGGGGATTTCATGTTGTTTAATGAGTACTGAGTTTCAGTTTGGAAAGGAAAGAGTTCTGGAGATGGGTGGTGGTGATAGTTACAAAACAATCTCAATGTACTTAATGCCACTGAACCGTACACTAAAAATGGTTAAAACAGGACATTTTGTGCTATGTATGTTTTACAATAGTTGAAGAAGAAAGAAGAGGAGGAGGAAGAGGAGGAGGAGGAAGAGGAGGAGGAGGAGGAGGAGGAGCTGTGACTTCTCCATATCTGCCAGTTGGAGGCAAAGAACTTTTAGGTCATAGATGAAAGAACCACACAAGGGAAATAGCCTGTGCCCCTTAATCACCACGTAACAAAGGACCCTCGCTGACTAGGAATCTGACACTGGGCTCTTATTTGAGTGATAAACAGACTTCCAATGTGTGAAATCATTGAGATTGGGGTTCAATCTGTTGCAGCAGCTAATAGAACCCTAACACAACCTGCAGCTGATATTCACAGCTGATGTGGCAGAATGGCCACTGATGCAGCAAGGTCCCCTGGTAAAGAGATAGGGGGTAGTTTCAGAAATGGTCATGGTTTGAGACAGAGAAGACATTGCTGCTGAGGGCCCATCTTCAAGTTGAGCAGTTCTCAAAAACTAAGTCACAACCCCTTGTCTGCAAGGTGGCTTCCAAGGACTTTGTTTGTAAGGAAACTCGGAGGAGTTTATCTCCTTGAAAGACATGTCACCCATTCTGGGTTAGGAACTGGGTGTGGGCTTGGGGTGTGGAAGGCAGGGGAAGAAGGAGACTGTGGTCCTCAGTCTGTGAGGGGTAGGCATGAGATCAGTCCCTACATGCTCTGATAGGCAGATCATGCCCTGGCTAAGTGGCTCTGCAGTTCCATTTGAGTGGCAGCTCCTTAGCTGAGCATAGCATCGAAAGAAGGCAGGGATTGTCGTGTCTTGTGCTGAAAGGATGATTGTCAGTAGGATATATACCACGGCCACTAGCTGTGACCGGAGCTAGCCACAAACTCCACGATCAGCAGCAAAGGAAGTCCCAGCATCAGGAGTGCAGAGGAGGTAAGAGTGACCAGGACAAGCTCTGGGGCTCACATGGGTCTGTGGAATTTCAGCTGCAGCTACAGTGTGTGGAAGGCCTTTCCTGGCTGTCCAGGACCCAGTCCCTCTGCCTCTGGAGGTGGTCTGGGACCCCGGGGAATGGCAGGGGCTGAGGAGACCCACAGCCTCCAGGCATGCATCTGAGGTGGCTTGAGTGGCCCAGGAGACAAGGACTGACTTTTGGCTTTCTCATAAGCATCCTGGTAACCTGGACTTCTTGGACTCATCACAGGGAAATGACCCTGGGAAAGAGAGAAGGCCATTCTTGCTAGAGGGGAGATGAGGCTAGAGCCAAACTCACAGAGCACAAAAAAGAGATGCAGCCTCATTTCATTCTTCAATTTTGCAAAGAATTTACTGTTTTAATGAATTAGAGCAATTCAGGGTCACCCTATAATAACCATACTCTTACTTACATGTATTCTTTCTTTCCTCCTAAGCTGGAGAGGAAGAGGTGAAGTTAGGGTTTGGGAGCTGGGGATTGCAAACAAATTTGACAGTTGTGTCAAAATCTGGCAATGTACATAGGGCTGAGTCATGTAGGTAAAAGTCATGTGAGTTACATTAAAATACAAGTTGAAAATGATTGGTTTTATAATTTTTTATCAGAGATTTAATGTTTATTAAATGTATGAATGCTTCCCTGTTCCCTATTATAGTGTAGGATCTCCAGAATTCTCCCACAGTGGCCATTAACACTGCTGTGGGTTCTTACCTCTCTTTAGCTTGTCCCTGGCATTAACCCTGTAATGTGAAACCAGGTTCTGAGGTCTCCAGAGATGAGAGACTGCAGAACATTCAAAGAAAAAGTAAAACAGAGACTCTGCCTCTCTCTGCATCGTCTCTCTTGGAGTTTCCTGGAGCCAGTCCTCCATCTTCCTATGAGGTGGTATCTATTTCTTTCTCTTACTCTGGATTAATGTTTGCATTTTCCTTCACCAAGGCCCCAAGGGGAGGCATAGCACCCTGCCCAGGGTCTGAGCCCTATTTACAGAAAGGTGTTTTTGCTGCCCTGACATTTTTCACAGTCTCTTATGCATCCTCAGCCTGGGCCTTGTACAAACACTAGCTGATAAACATCTGATGACAGTCTTTGAAATGGTCCAAGGCCACCTGGGTCCTGCTACCACTTCCTGGGTTTGGTCCCAGGGCTAGGACTGAGCAACAGCCCCTTCCAGCCACCTGACCTGGCCAGGGCCCTGCTAGGAAGGGGAGGTCTGACCCTGGCCATTGAAAGCTGACTCAGGGCGGCTAAGCCAGAATTCCAGCTCCCACAGCATGAGGAGTCCTCTCCTCTCCCCTCTGCTCTCTTGCCAGGATGACACACCCCTGTCTCCTGCTGTCAGTGCTCACCTGCATGGGAAGCACTCGCTGGGTCACGGGACTATTTTCCCATTTCCTTCAGCACCAGTGGCTGTGGTGACTTGAGGTCATTTAGAGACCTGCCAGCTCAGTCTCCTCTGTCCTTCTTGCCCTCTTGCTGCCTCTGGGAAGGGCCGAGCTATTCCTGACACCTGGAGTAGGACAACAGCATGAGGAATCTATGCAGGGCTGAATATAAGCAAGCTGGGCTCCTCATGAATGACAAAATGCAAGCTCATGAACTCCGACCTCAGGTCTATGTGCCTGGAAAGGCCACTGCCCCCAGGATGTCTCCATATTCTCCAGCTGGGGGTGGGGAGGCTTATGTTCTCACCTCTGGCTCCTAGCTTCTGCTTCCACTGGGTTCTTTCAGTATGAGTCACTTTGCCATCCCGTGTACACTGTCCTGGGTCTGCACTCAGAGATGTGGAACTCGGACCCTCGCCTTGATTTCCACAGAAACCAAACCAAACAACCATCTAAGACTTCTGTGCAGGCAGCAGACTCTGTCAAGGGCTGCTCAGCCAAGAGGATTTACACTGCAGCAGAGCAGACAACTTCAAGTGGAGTTTTTGATCTTTAATGATCCTCTTTGAGGCCACTCCCAGCTCTAGAGATTTCCCAGGGATCAGATCATCCCACATTGCTAACAAAGCTCATGTTTTTCCACAGGTTCATGAACGGCCTATACTGGAACCACTACTGGGGGACTTGGGGGGTCTGCTGTGTGTGTGTGTGTGTGTGTGTGTGTGTGTGTAAGAGAAGGAGGTGGTGGGTCGTATTTGGTGGCTTGTTTCTACTTTGTTTTGTTGGGAGACTTGCTTGTAAATGAACCTTTACATTTGGAGGCAGGTGTCCTGCTCCTTGCAGTGCCCACTCACCAGGGTAACCTCTTAGACCCCATCCACAAAATCCAAAGAGTTGAAAGGAACACAAATGCTGTCCAGCTCAGGAGTCTTCAAGCATTTTGCCTGCATTGCATGTCCCCTAAAATAATGTTGAAACATTATATATCCCCCTTGACAGTTTTTTTTCCTCCTCCACTCTGAAGGGATCCCTTAAAATTTTTGGTATTTTAAATTTTTCATCTTGAGTTTAAATAGCTGAAAAATGTTATATTTTACTGTAAATTTGAAATATTTTAACAGTTAAACATTTTGGAATAACTATAAGCCGCTATTTAAATGTATCAAAATAGAATTGGAATGTTTTAGCAATTTAATATCCTCCATTTAAAAAAAAATCATGAACAAGCTCTTCTTTAATGGTCAGAAATTTTACATTATTCCTTTTTCCTCCTCGAGTTTGTATTTCCACTCCTCTTTCCCTAAAGAACTTTATCCTGATATATTAAAGTCTTTTATTAATCGCCTTATCATTTCTCTTAAAATGTATACAAATTCAATTTTTTTCCTTTTCTGTGACCATAAAGCTATGTTGTCCAATACTGATATTATGGAACACTCGTTAGTTTCTCCTTCACCTTTGTCAAAATAATTGGATAGTGTTAGATTTGTAAAAGGATTAATAATCTAATTATTAGCATAATTCACTCTTTCAGCTAAAATCAATACTTTAATATTGTCTCTTTGGACTCTACACCAGCAATGCATGAGAGTTCCTATAGCAGCAAAGACGATCCACCCTTCTCGGGGAGGCTTTTGTAGAAGGTAGCTTTAAAAAACATTCATTTCCCCCATTTCCTCCTCCCTAATATGGGTTTTCCATCTGGGCTTCCAAGGTATCCCAGATTCATAACCTACCTCCTGAGATGTGGGGTTTCCTTTGGCTCTGGTGGGAGGGCTAAGGTGAGAGAGGTTCTAAAGTCAAAGCAGTTGTGAAATGCCACAAATCCACTGGGGACAGCTGTGAGTTGAGGTTCTGGAAAGGAGAATGAGTCAATGCAGTTATTGTTAGTCTATGTATCCACTTCAGTCTCATTTGGAAAATGTGTAATGACTTGCCTGCGCTCAATAAGGCCCCTCACATTACCAACCATGATTCTTGGGCTCTCAATGCCATAGAAATTCACACAAGGCCAAAAGAGCTTTTCCAAACAAGGCTTCACTGGAGCTTATGGCTGGACATAAGAGAGGCAGCATGAGAGACAGAGAGGGAGAGAGAGAGAGAGAAAGAGAGACAAAGAGAGAATTCCCTCACTTACTCCCCCAAAAGAGCCTTGCTTTTTTATTAGGCAAAGCGCAGGAACTGACATGGGGCATGAGGTATACAGGGTGGGCTGGGCAAAGCACCTGAGGGTAGGGGATGCGCGTCAGCATATCTGGTTGCCATGGTTATCTTGAGTAATGGACCACCTGATGCTCTGGTAGGTGGCAACAAGGCAGTAACTCAATTGTCAGCATTCCTTCCCTAAGTGGGACCCTCCACAACCTCGTTATCGCCAAAGGCCAGTGCCTGAAATTTGTAAAGTAAAAGGCATGGTTGCACATTATGGTATCAGTGAGGCAGTAGTGTGTGTTTTGTGATCACTAAGAATGCTCCAGCAGGGCGGAGCTGAAGCCAAGCTGCCATCTCCACTGTCTCATTTGGTCCTCCCTTAGAGCTCTCCCTCCCCGAGTTCACCTGCCTGATCAGCCAGAGCAGATTTCCCGCACATCTAGGTCCTTTACATCCTCTAGCCTACAAAGCACGAAGAGGCCCCTATTGGTCCTCTGGCTCTAATGGGCTGAGAAGGAGCTTAGCAGGAGAAAAAGTGAGTTTCCCAGACCCGTCCTAGGAGAGAGTCTAGAAGGCTTGTTTCTCCTCAGAAACACAAATGGTAGAGATGATTTTTCCATCTCATTATTCCAAAGAATTCTCAGGCAGTGACCATGAATAACTTATAATTCTCCTTCTTTAAAAACAAACACACATACCCCTGGGAATAATTGCACTCACAGGAAGTAGGCTGGCCCAAGTGCACACAGCCAGGAAGAGTAAGAACCCTTCACGTTTACTTCAGAGCAAGGTTTTTAGCAGGGAAAATGTTGTTAGGTTGTGTCTACTCCTTCCAGTGCCCTCTTCCCTCCTCCCTCCCCACAAATTCCCCACTTCCGTCACATGTTGGCAGGAACTTGCTGTTCCTTGGCCAGCCAGGAGGCCTGCCAGAGCCCTTCCATTTTCCGGAGGGCTTGTCTTCTATTTCTAAACAGAGTTGTTTAAAACCGGATGCTACACAGAGCCAAGTTCCTCACCCTTCAGACCCCCTCCCTGACCCCTGACCCTGTGAAGCAGTCCCCTCCTCTTTTTATTGTTCTTGACTCTGGGCCTGTCCCTGTAACCAAAGACAATGAGTTGGGGGCAGGGGCCGGCACAGGCTGCAGGCCAAGGGGGAAAGCTGTCAGAGGAAATTTCACAGGGTAAAGAGGCTCCCAAAAGAGCCACGTCATCCCTCAGCCCCTCCCATTTCCCTCTCCCCCTGCCTTGCTGTCCTGGAGGGCAGAAGAATGAGACCAGCCCATCGAGGAAGTCCCTCACTTGAGCAGGGCCAGACTTAGGCCATCACAGAACACAGTGAGACGGTTCTAGTTGAAAAAACAACCAAAGGAATGTCTATGCCGTTCATTCATTTAGTTGTAATAGATGGCTCTTTTAACAGGTGTCCATTCATTCATACTTTCACTCATTCATTTTCTATTCAACAAGGTGAGGTAGGCGGTGGCACTCAACTCCAGAGTCATGGCTTGGACACTTGGACACGGGACCAGATTGAGGACTAGCTAAAACAGGGCCCCAGAGAAAGCCGCTTTCAATCAGACACGCCCACCAGTGTGCCGTGTCAATTCACCGTTGCCATGGCAACATGTGGGCATTACCACCCTTTTCCATGGCAATGACCCAATGACCCAAAAGTTACTACCCCTTGCCTAGAAATTGCTGCATAAACTACTCCTTAATCCGCATGCAATTAAAGTGCGTGTAAATATGACTGCAAAATGGTCCTGAGCTGCTACTCTCTCCCTACACAGTAGCCCTGCTCTACAGGAGCAGTCATGGAACTGTAACACCACTTGAACCCAGGAGGCGGAGGTTGCAGTGAGCTGAGATCATGCCACTGCACTCCAGGCTGGGCAACAGAGCAAGACTCCATCTCAAATAATAATAATAATAAAATAATAGTAATAATAATAATAAAGCTGTTTTCTTCTACCTCCAGCTTGCCCTTGAATTCTTTCCTGGGCAAAACCAAGAACCCAGTGAGCAAAGCTCCACTTTGGAGCTTGCCTGCCCTGCGTCAAAGGCATCCACTCTGTACCTGCTATTGTTCCTCACAGCCATTGGGCTATGACAGTAGATAAAACAGGCCAAAATACCTGCCCTCCTGGGTCTTGTACTGGTGGATGTTAGAAATTTCATACAAGGGAAGAAGGAATAGGAAGTCCTTGGAAATATGACAATGAAGAGAGTAGTCAATGACAATAGCCATTGACCCTGTTGCAATCTTAATGGGATGTACAGAGTCACCAGGCCCGAAGTCAGATCTGGCAATCAGGAAGACCAGAAAACCAGCCAAGAGTCTAATGGCTAACAGGAGTAGCAAATCAGAAACATGGCTTTGGATTTCCTGCTGCAACAGATGTGTAGAGGGGAAGCAGGTGGGCTCTGCTCAGGTCTGGGAGGCAGGGCATTCTGGGGATTTCCCTCAGGCTGGCCTCCATGCCTGCTGCTGCTGTCTTAGCTGCACCATCATAACCACACATCATCCACAGCAATGGGGGAGGACCCAAAAACAAACAACCATGGCCTTCCTCAAGAGCTGTGGTGATGTCCAAGTGGTTACAAAAAAATTCCATTTTCCTCAGTGAACTAGTCCTCATGCGTGGGGGAGGCTTTGTCACTGGTCCTGATTATTGCTTCTTGGGCAATACCTCCAACATTTTGCTTTCAGTTTCTCTGCTTCCAGCGTATCTGTCCCATGCTAGCCATCTATTATTCATTCAACAAACATACACTGGGTAGCAACCGTGCATCAGGCCCTGCACAGGGTGCTGAAAATGTCCTTCTGGAGGAGAGAGACACAAGTGGTGCCTTGAGGGCTGTCATGAGAGAGGCAGGCATGCCATGAACAGCACACACCTGGGCTGAGCTCTCGTGGAGGGATAGTGAGCCAGGAGCTCTGGGGGCAGCCGGGAAGGAGGGCACTCCTGACTCAGCCTCAGGTCCTTGAGAATTCGTTTGGCATTGTTTGGTTGGTTGCACTGTGCTAGGCACCGCCATCTCAAGAAAGCTTAGCTTAGCTCAGAAGGGACAGAACGTTTATTTGAGATGAATGAATAGAACTTTCCAAGGCAGTCAACTATGGAGAGGAAGCGGGGGAGGCGTGCAGCCAGAGTGAGCAGCCTCTGTAGAGCTGAGAGCTGGGAAAGGGCAGGGTTCATGGGAGGGCCAGGGAGTGGTGCACATGATGGGAGCCTGAGGGTAGGGGTAGGGAGGTGGCTGATTGGAGGGAAGCTTGGTGCTGGAGGGTGGAGAGGACAGAGGGCATGGAGGCCATGCCAAGGGAAGTTTGGACTTTATCCTATAGTAAGCAAGAAGGAACTATGGAAGTCTTTTAAGGCTGGGCATGATATGATCAGATCTGGGAGCTACAAACACATATATACACATATAGATAGCTATAAAAGAAATTCAAACATCTAAATAGTCTCTCTATATCTACTTTAAGTACACATGTATGTGTATATTTCACCCATACAAACCTAGATAATCAGTTATTGTGCTTTTCTTCCTCTATCGCCTCTCCCCTGGTCGGTCAGAGGCCTATACATTGCCCAGGAGAATTATGATTCTCTTAGCAGAAATACAAAGGGAACACAGGCAACAAAAACAAAAATAGACAAATGGACTTAATTAAACTAAAAGGCTTCCACACAGCAAAAGAAATCATTAACATACTGAAGAGACAATCTGCAGATGAGAGAAAATATTTGCAAGCTATTCATCTGACAGGGAACTAATATCTAGAATATGCAAGGAACTCAAATAACTCAATGGGAAAAAGAAAAACAAATCCCATTAAAAAGTAGGCAAAGAACGTGAATAGACATTTCTCAAAAGGAGACATACGAGTAACCAACAGGTATATGAAAATATGCTCACTATCACT